AGATAAATTATTTTCATAAAAAATAAAAAATATTTTTGTTGAGATTATATTGCATATTTATTATATATTTGTCGTGTGTAATTTTATAATATTAAAAAATATTTGCAAAATTCTCATACTAAATCCGCCCGCATCAGTTCACTCCTTCGGTCTGAACCCCTTCACAACAAGTTTTACCTTGTAATGTCTGCTACCATATGACTCCTCTTTTAGCCTCTAAACATACTTATTGTGTAGTGATCTTTTGTTATCTGAAAATACCACCAAATCCCAGGTCCAATTTGACTCTAATGATTGTATTTCATTAGTCATGGCAAGCTTTCACACTCTTAAACTTTCAAATTAAGTGATCTACTCATAGCACTTTGGTTCACCATTATATATTAGCACTAAATAGTGCAAAGAAAGAGAAAACGTCTGTGTCAGTCAAATAGCTTAACTGGACCACCTGACTTCAGTGGCAAGTGACCGAGGAACTTTGATTGAGCTTTTCTTTCTTCGCTCTCCTAAACACTATTGTTTTGTATTTAAACATATTTGGGCTCTTCAAAAGCAGTTGACGAACTATCATGAGTTTTGATCCTGTTCTTATAAATCTTCATTTCATTGAATGTAATATTCCTGCTCCTCTGATAGTCCCAGAACGTGTACCCAAACTCATATGAATCATAACAAATGAAGATGCACCTGACAAATTTTGAGTTAAGCTTAATTTGGACCCTGCATCAACATATACATATGTAGCACACTCAAAATTTCTTCAAGTGAGATAAATTTACCTATTTATAACTCCAGACATAGACATCTTCAGGTAAGCCTTCCTTCAAAGATACTTACAAATTCTAGTTGATCAGATACACTACAATGTTCACTGTTTCTACACAGAATTATCTAGCAAGCCTGCATGCAACCTTATCTCCTAGTACACTCCGTGATTGTTTTATTCATGCGCTCAACCACATCATTTAACTGTGACGTCCAAAAATTTATAAATTTTTGTTAACAATACTCGCCCCCATTATTTGATCTGAGACACTTCAGTTTTAAGTATATCTCATTTTCTGCCATAGTCTTACACTTTTTAAAAACTTTAAATACACCCAATTTTTTGATTTAAAAAGAAAATTTATACATTTTAAGTATGATCGTCAATAAATGTGACAAAGTAATGGGAACCTACAATAAGCTGAACTGGAGTAAGACCTCGTATATCATTATGCACTAGCTTCAACTTCTTTGACTTCATTATTGATCCACCATTAGAGAAATACTTTCTTTTACTTGTCATATACGCAATTTTCACATAAATCCAAATCTACATATTTAAAACCATGAATATTACTTTGAAAGTAGAAACTTCAAACATTTCTCGCTCCTGGTCAAACATAGTGTCATAGACCTGCATCAACTTTGGCCTCAGCCACATCAATGAAATTCATCATCTTATTGATCAGATAAAGAGTGTCTTCAAAATTGCCACAAGCCATCACCCTTATTCCCTTGTCACCTTCACGAATCACTTATGAAAGTAGTCATGAACCCTGACTTTACTAGCTATCTTAGGGAGAACAAATTTCTCTTCAGATTTGGAACATGTCCGACTCCAGTAAGCTGTCAAACTGTTCCATTTGGCAATTTGATATTTGCATCACCCTTTTCTACGATATTGTATGTTATGTTGTCTCACAAATAAATCTTTACTAAATCACTCTGAGTGTAATTCCTAAACACTTCTTTGTTGGGTCATGTATGAAAAAAATGCATGAATCTACAATCTAAGATTCAGTGCTGACGAGGTATAACACCAAAAAGTCACATTGGATTTTGCCAGTGGAGACATTTATAGAGAGACTCAAGTATTGTCTTACACCACCAGCCTTCCTAAAAGCTCTACAACCCTTCTTAAAATGTCATTTCTTTCCGCAATTCCAGCATTCTCTATCATTTTCTTTGCTTGATCTGAACTTTCCTCTTCTGCAATCTATCTCTTCTTGTATTCCTGCCTAGATTAATTCTCTTATTTTCAGTAATTAACACAAAACATGAAGATTCATCATTCGATATATTTCTATGAACTTCTTTATTCAGCACCAACCCCATGATGTCATCAAAGTTCAACTTCATATTCCCTGAAGAACTACCGCCATGACCAATCCAACCCAACCCAATTATCCGGCAATGAAGATAGAATTAGCAATGCCCTGATCTGATCATCATATTTGATCCCACATAACAAAATTAACTTTTTATAGTGTTGTAATTGTTCAGATGTTTCATTACAGAACTTCCTTCCATCATTTTTATGTTGAATAACATGCTCATTAGAAAAATCTTATTCGTAACAAAAGAAATCATCATGAGATTCATCATAATTTTTTCATTCACTATATTGAATGTAACAGATGAGGAAAGAGAAAAACCAATCAAACCTAGGATCGTTTAATCGAGCACTTCTTATTGCTTCATAGTTATCGATTCAGGCTTCTTAGTGATTCCTTATAATGACAAATATAATTTTTTTCTAATATAGCAAAACCTCCATTTGCATCATCTAGAACACAAAGCTCGGTCCATCGAACTTCCTCCACTTTGTATCTTGTTTCATCAGTTATTGCTCCAACTTGAATCAAACACCACTCCCAAATACCACTTGTTTGGATAAAAAATATACAGTTAAGGCTTTAATTGATTAGAAATCAAATCCACATTACATAATAGGATCATAACAATTTGTGAAATCCAAAATAAAATTTTGAAGAAAACCACAACAAAAAATACACCAAGATTTACATAGAGAAATCTTTGCAATCAGTAGAACTTATAGAACTTTGCTCCAACAATTTCTCTTAATTTCACAAGAAAAAGTCCTCATTGAAATCCTCCCCCTCAACCCTTTCTACTTCATGAGAAACCTATCAAGAACGTCGCATGCGAGATTGCAATCCTTCGTCCCTCAAATTGTAAGTAGAGAACGAACAACATGTAAGCATTTTCCTCTTACATCACCAATGATTAGAGATAAAACGATGTGCTTGACACTACACATACAGATTTAGAACAGTCTACTACCCTCTTAGCTGCCCCTCTCTACACCATAATCTGGAGGCAAAATTGAATCGCAATTAAATCTATTTGCTTCTCTGAGCTAGTTCCTAATAAACGTATAATACATTCCCCAATAAGAAAAAAGAACTCCTAACAAACGGAAATATTTCAAACACATGGAGGGTACCAAGATTCAAATTTCTAATTGTAAATAGAATATCAATATCCATTTTTGAAAGCCCAACAATCAGGGTTACTTTAGGAAGAAAGTGCTTACTTGAGAGCGAGCTTTCTGTATGCGGACTTTATCTCCTGATCAGACGAATCCCTCGATACGCTCAATACCTCATATGGATCTCGCCTGACGGCCGGCGTCGAAGGGCCCTCCATTTTCCTCGACGTCATCGCCTCTCACGAACCCTCCGCAGATCCACTCTCCCAAGTCGACCCCACTCCTCTCTCCCAAATCCTATCTTCCAACAATCGAATAAAAAACCTGCAAACCCATGTCTTCCAGAATTTAAATCGGGAAATTACAGCTACCCCATGGTATTGAATTCAAAAAAATCGCATAAGAACCCAGAAAAATAAAATAAAATAAAAACTACCTGGGATTCCATTGTAGGAAAGAAAACCTTCAGCAAGAAAACCAACAAATGAGCAAGCAAAAGACAGAATCCACCAATCTCTTCGCTCACAAGGATTTGTACGAATGGGATCGATGAAAAAAGAGCAGTTTATTAAAAAATATTTGGCACAGTGATCGAACGATTCGAGCTTCCTTCCGGAGCTGCCCTATTTTTCAGCTCCCTGAAATCCAGGATGCAGAACTGGGTGGGCCTTGGGGAGCTGGACCAAGAGGCATGCAACTTCTGCAGATATACCCCCGGTGACTAAGATGACCTCATGAGTACTGGAAACGCAAATTAGCCAACTCATTGACCAAAACGTTTTTTTTTTAAAGATTAGTAATATCAATTCATATTTACAGATTAGAAATATCAATTTTGAAGTGGCCATCAATCATTATTTTTCAAATTTTGAAGTGACCATCAATCATTATTTTTCAAGACAGTTTAAATTAAGTACCTATATATATTGAATTTGAATTTGTTCATGAATCATAATCAAGGAATATAAACTAAGGCAAGACCCAGAGAGAAAATAAAGCGCAGTAAATGAATACTAATTTTTAACAAATATGTAACATTTTTATTCATAAAATAATCCTTTGTTTAAATAAAAATAATACAATATATAAATTTATAGTTATGTCTTTGCTTTGCATTACACATGTTATTTTAAGTATTTTAAGCATTTTAACTATGTTGGGCCATAATGTTTGTTTTCTGGCTCGACTGGTTGGACTGACGAGACATTGTACTTAATAGATACTACCCATTGGTTGGATTAATGAGGCCTTGGTAGGCATCGTCGGTCGACAAGATTGATCCGTCTGAGTAAGTTTTATTGATCAATTGGTCAGATTCGGCCATCAATGCTAGATCCTTGATAGGGAACTTTTGTTGATAAAGTAAAGCTAAACTAATGATGTGTGGATAAGTTAGCTAGTATTCTTGTTGTATTTATATATTTTTATGGACGAAATTACGCTGTAAGAAAGATATTTTTGTGTTTATTTTACAAGTGGAACATGTGATTAAAGTGGGAAAACCATGAGAGGACATAGAGCTAAATGGTGCAAAGTGGCATTGGGGGCCCAGTTACCGGACCCTTGGGCACCAAGCGTCAGTCCCTACTTCACTAACCCGAGAGATTGGTGCTAAGGCATCAATCATTGGGTGCTTAAGGGCCGCAACAAGGGCACCTAGGCGTCGTACCCCTTGGGAGCTTAGGCACCCGTCCCTGCTTCAGCAAATAGAAAGCGTGGGGCCTAAGTGCCAGAAACTGTCACGTGTAGTTGCTACAGCTCCAGACTTCAGATGTGGGGGATCGTGTGGGTGATCTTGCTGGACTGTAGAGGACTTGTAGAAGCCAAGTCAAGGAGCTTATAAATAGCAGTGCATTGCAGGCTTGATGACAATTGATCCTAGTTGCTTACTTGGTGGTTTTCGCTTGTTGTCGGAATTCATTCTTCCTCTTCCAATGTAGAAGACAGTTCGAGTTCTACATGAGCAGTGACATAGGAAGTCAGGAAGATTGTTGAATAAATCATCTTCTGGTCATTGTAAAGAAGGGAAAGCTAAAACTTTTTGTTGTCTTTTAGTTGTAATAATTGGATAGTGGATTTCTCTTTGATTCAATGAATCTGTTTGTTGTTTTTATCTTGCTTCTTGAGTAGACTTCTTAATCTTCTTTGCAATGATTAAGTTGGATGGATGGAATGAGAATTGCTAAGTATTTTAATTAATTTATATGGTGATGATTAACTTTCAATGCTTAATTTACTTCTCACTCTAGCTAAGTGAATTTTTAAAACAGGTCGAGAACCATAAATCTTGGGAAAGTCTATGGTAGAATCAATTAGGTTAATCACATTTACTTATGGGGTATAGAAATATGTCTTGTAGAGAGATGCAAATGTTAGGGAAATATGCTTTGATGGGTTAGGTATGAGATTGATTGGAATAAAATCATTTCTAACTAAGCTTCTTTATGCATATGGGAGGGGTAAAGAGCACTATTGCTTCTATTTGTCTCTAGACTTTTGTTTGCAATTCTTAATTTCATGAAATCCTCTTAACTCATTAAAGAACACTATAAGAAAACTCTAATTAATATGTGTTGCAGCATTAGGGATTGGTACAAGTTCTTAGCATCATTGCAGGGAACGATAGTGATTTGACTTAGGAAAATTTTAATTGAACTTCTAGGTCTTAAAATTAAGAACTTATAATGTTAATTGTATATGTTCAGCTATTTTAATTATTTTAACTAACAATAAAAAAATAAAAATATTTCGTTTTTTGGTTTTTTAATAGTGTGTTGTTTTTTTATTTATTGTGTGTTTGACTTAATTATTTTGATTTAAACTTTTAGTATTATGGGTCACTAGTTTGTATATGTATAGTTCAGGACTGTAAGACTTGAACCTTATGATTCTTAGCTAGAAAGATAGAAAGAACTATTAAAAAAATTTAAAAAAAAAAAACTTCAAGAACTCATAGGAGAGATGACAAACAATCCTTAAAATAACTTAGAGTCTCATGAATAATCCATGAACATTCAGATGCATAAAGACCTTTAAGAATGTTGACCTCACTTTTGGTTGAGCTCTAGTCTCTTATTTAGAAGCCTAAGATCTAGCCATAGGAATTTTCTGTTGACTATCCTAGAGGACTAGTCATGGAACTCTCGTCATTAGAAATTTCAAATGCTTTTTTGCTTATCTTGGTGTTCCACATGTTCGTTATAACCTCTAGAATTTTGCAAGTAGAACTAGCATGGGGAAGCTCAAGAGGAGTCCCCATAGGGTTGTTTGGCATTAGGGTTAACTCTGGGTGGTGTGGTCTTGGTCCTACACACACACATCCACTTTTGGCCTAAACCCTAAACTACTCATACTTAGCCTGGTTCCCCCATTCTCATGGAAACTCATGTGGATGGTCCCCCAAACCGTTAGCCCTAGGCTAGGATATGACCAACATATGGAGGATCCAAGATGGGATTTCTTTGACCTCATGGCACCATAAGGGTGTTTTTATGATTTACATTCCTATTGAACCCTAATTCTACCCAATTGCCCAATTTTGACTTTTTAGCCCCAAACTTTTCCAAAATTACCAAAACGCCCTTGATGGCCCAAAATTTCTCAAAACCTCCCAAATCATTCCAAACACTCCCAAAACCAAACTTGACCACTCATGAAGTCCAATTCGACCAACTTGACCAATTTTGACCAAAATCTCAATTTTGCCCTTTAAGGCCAATGACCCTAAATCACCCCCAAGTTCTCCCAAATTGATTTCAAAATTTCCCAATTTCAAATATAAACTCAATTTTATCTAAACCAAATTGAAAGCAAATTCAACCCAATTTAACTTAATTCCAAACCCAAATTCCAAGCCCAATTTAAACCCCCAATTTGGCCATGTCTTCAAATTTCACCAAATTGAATGCGTTAACCTATCCAATTTTCCCAATTTTTAATTCTAAACTTTTAAAACCATTCCCCTAGACCAAAGGGAGCCTTTAACGGGCCTTGGACAAGCCTTAAGCTTAGCCCAAACTCAACTCAAATCAAAATCCCCAATTTTGCCCCAAACTTCAAATTCCTCCAAATTGAACTTCATATTCCTTAAATTTTCCACCCAATGGATTCCCAAATACCTTGTGACAATTTCATACATCAAATTGACTAATAAATTGGACTAGATCGAAGCTTTGTCCAAGCCTAAACCCAAGTCCAAGCCAAATCTCAAATTTTGAACTCAAACTCCAAACTCACCCCAAAGCACTTGGTCCAACCCAACCTTGATTACCACAACCACTATTTGGAACCTAGGGACCAACCTAGATCCTCCTAAACAACTCTACATGAGCCATGGAGCAAGGGCCCTCAAATTGAGGAGCCTCTTCCCATATTTGGCTAATTGACACATGCTTAGCACCCCTTGATTAAACCCTCATCCAAAACACCATTAAACCTTCCTTGGCCATTCCTGACCCTGCTAGCCACTAGCCCTGGCCTGGCCGGCTAGCCTAGTAATTGGAGAAGTTAAAACTTAGATAGCCACCCAAGCTTTGAACCCCAAATTAAACACATCCTTTGTGGTAGTCCCTAATTGGTTGCTGGCGCCAAACTCCTCTCTTCCTCAGCTAATTGTCACCAGTCAATCAAAGCTCAAGCCTTTTCCATTGGCCATGGCTATTGGCTATAAAAGCCACCTCTCATAGCCAAAGGGGATATGATCAAATTCTCTAAGGAGACCTTGTCATATTCTCACCAGAGCTTCTCCAAGCCTTCCTAAGATCATTCCAACCATTTTCTCCCACTGAAACCCAATGTTAAACCCTAATTTTGAGTTCAAAATTCAGAGCCTTCTGCCATCACATAGAACTCCACCAAACTCCAAATTGAATCACTCTTGAGCTTTCCCAAACCAAATGAGGAAGTTCCTCATAGAAATACTATTGTCCCAAGCCCTCTAATCTACCTCTAGACCAAATTTTCACCACCCCCTGGCTGAACTCATACCTAGACCTTACCTCAGTTCAAACCAACAGTTCAAGGAGGTTCGTTGGACTCTACCAAAGCTTCCATAAGCACCTAATCGAGGCCTCACCTCTTAAGCTAAGGTATAATCCAAAAGCCCTAAAAATCCCTTTGGTTTCATCAATTATGAAGAGAATGTTTATTTCATACACATGTAGCCAGTTAGATGTGTTCGTCTTGACTATATGAAGTTATAGGAACAAAAATCATGTGATTTATTTGAGTATCAAGCAAGATCTTAGGTCTAGAAGTTGGACTGTTCTCAAGTTAGGTCAGTTAGGGACGATGACCAGGGACCGTCCGATCGCGCGTGTATTGAATTGACGGCTCAGATTGTGTTGGATGGAAGATATGTTCTGTCGGCACTATTTTGGCTGGAGTTACCTGTAAGAAGCCGTCGGTCAAAATCAAAATCCCGTCGCCTGCTTCGGAAGGACGTTTAAGCTTAAAAAAGTATGAAATCAAACTGATTCTATATTTTCCATAATTTAAATGAAAGAGCACTATACCTCAAACCTTGTATCCATCCTAAAGGATAAACATAAGACTTGAGGATGAGGCTCGATCAAATAAACTAAGAAAGGTATGACGTTTGTTTGGTCTGCGAAACCGTTTTATTTATCGATAATTTCCCCTATTTAATATGAAGAATTAAATAGGGTTTATTTTAAGTTGAGTTCGAGAAAAGCTTCCTATAAGGGAAAACCCCTATAGTTAATCTTAGATATCTTAGATAACCGAAGTCATCTAAG